CTCAGCCTCCCAAAGGCGCGGGATTACAGGCTGAGCCACCGAGCCCGGCTGTGTTTTTTCTAAACCACTTTAAAAGGTATGGTTGGCATACCAAAAGCTGAGTGCACAGCTTGATGAATTTGGAGATGGTGTACACCTGCGAAACCATCACTGCTGTCTATGCCATAAACACAGCCATCACCTCCCAAAGCCTCCTTCCACCCTCGTTATTTTTTATTGTGTTTGTATGTGGTAGCAACACTTAGCATAGATCTATAGTCTCACAGGTTTTGAAGGCTAAATCCCTGCTCCTGGCTCCGGGAGCCTCAGCTGTCCCGGCCAAATGCTTACTCACAAGGTCGCAGCTTTCTAGTAGCCAGAGCTGGCTGGACTGGGTGGTGCCGAGCTGGGCCTGAGATGCTGCTGTTGTTTGTTTTATTAATGATGGCCATTTTTACTGGAGTTAGGTGGTATCTCAGTGTGGTTTGGATCTGCATTTCTCTGATGATGAGTGAGGCTGAGCACTTTTTCATGTGTCTCTTGGCTGCCCGTATCTCTTCTTTTGAGAAGTGTCTATTCATGTCTTTGCCAATAAATTTCTGGAGCCTCGACCAACGGCCCTTCCCAAGGCAGGGCAGCAGAGGAGAGGAGTAGGCGGCGTTCTTGGCTCAGCTCCTGGCCGTCCCTGCTTGAGACCTAGGGTTGTGAAGGAAGGGTCACACTTTGTGCCTGGGGACAGGCCGGCCTGGGGACTGGACGAGGTTGCCTCTGAGGCTCCTTCTGTGTCGGGCTTCTCTTACCCTTTGAGTCCATTCGCCGGATGCCCTGGCTCCTCCGTCTGACGGTGTGATGGGCGGAGGCCCAGACTCTGTGTGGTGGGATCCGGCCCAAGTTCCCACCCACTCCAGGGTCTGGCTTCTCTTCAGAGGATGTGGCCGGGCTGGGCGGCCTGATTCTCGCCGCAGTGACGTTCCGCGAGAAAGGTCACCACGGGGCGTGTGGGGGTGGCGCTTGGCTGCAGCCCCTCTCCTTCGCTATTGTCCACCACCCTTGTCCCCTAGATCTTGTCGCTCATGGAAGCCCGTCATCTGTCCCTGGAGAGGAGGCAGAAGTCTTCGGAGGTAAGTCGGTCGGGCTGTGCCGGTGGCTTATGGTGGAGACCGAGACCCCCTCCCTGGTCCTCAAGCATCTGTGCATCCTTGTCTTTGCTGTCCTCCGGGCTCCCCTGCCACAGGTTCCCGTGCAGTCCCCTCAGCGCTCTGTGGATTCCATCAGCCAGGGCTCCTCCACCTCCAGCTTCTCCTCCGTGTCGACATGCTCCAGACAGGAGGAGGCCAAGAAGGACCACAGAGAGGTGAGGCCCCCTGAGGGGAGGATGGGGGCGAGGCCTTGATGCCCCGGGGTTATGGCCACCAGTGAGGGTGTAACCTGACCAGGGCTGCCCTCTCTGCCTGCTCCTCCGTTCCTGGAACAGCTGCCTCTGCCGTGGCCGAGGTCCATGCCGAGATGCTGTGTCTCACAGTGCTGTGCACTTCTGCTTGCTCTTCTGTGATCTGCTCCCTCCGAAGGGGGTG